TGCTTTCTTATACCCCTTCGTCTTTCACCAAACCTTTCTCAGTGAACCTTCCCTGAACTATCTAAATTGCAATGGCTTTCCTCCCTGACTTTTTAAAAATCTCTTCTTTCCTGCTTTATTTTCTCACTATTCACCATGACATACGTTTCCCCCACCACCATACCCAGGAGCAATAGCTGTAATGTAAACCCCAGATCCTGGGCTGGGGCAATTTCAAATCCAAAGGGCTGAGCAGAAAATGACACTGAAGAACCATGGAAGGGAAGGAAGGGGGATGGAGGTCATGGGGAGAGACTTCAAAGATCACATACAGGAGATGCTTGAGGGGAATGCGAGAGCAGTGGCTGGAAGTCTATTGGTGCAGCACGGACTCACCAGCGCAATCCCCAGCCTCGGAGTCCTAGTAATGAAGGATAGGAAGAAAAATGCCTGAAGACTTGCTTATGTGGAAAGCTTTTCATCCACAGACATTCCCAACACCAGTGTTCAGTTACTGTTGGTATGTAAAGTATGCCTGCGTGGTGTGTGGCATAGAGCAGCGGTCCCAAACGTTTTGGCACCATGACTGGTTTTGTGGAAGACACTTTTACACAGGGCTGGGGGTTGGGAGGAGGATGGAGCTCAGGTGGTAATACAAGGGATGGGGAGGGGGATGAAGCTTCCCTCCGAGGCCAGCCACCCACCACTTACCTCCTGCTGTGAGCCCAGCTCCCAAGTGGAAGGTGGGGGGACCCCTGGTACACAGAGTGGTGTCACAAATGGTGGAGGTTGACAGAGGCTAAATCAGGGAAGGCCATGCTGATTTTATTAACCTATATAATGCATAAAGTATAAGTCTAGAATTTAAAATTACAAAGGTTTCTACAAATCAATAAGAAAATACAAATAACCTATATTAATCAGGACAGAAAACCAATTCAATTATCTTAAACAAGAAAGGGACTTTATTGGCTCACAAAATGTTAAAGTCCGGAGGTAGGGCAGGCTTTAGGCACAGCTGGACTAGGGCCTCCAGAAAAATGTTATCAGAACTCAGTTCTCTTTGAGTTTCTCCTCAAACTCCGCATGGTACAAATTCAGGCTTACACAAGTTCTTAGTTCATGGGATCTCCGTAGAGCCTTCTTTCCAATAGTTTCTGCAGAAGTTCTGTTGAGGGCTCTCTGCAGCCTGGCTTGAGTAACATCCCTATTCTCTCATCACTGTGGCTAGGGAGCTGCAGAACTCAGGAAGTCCAGACCTGGTTGGGTACTCACCTAAGCCACAGGGAATGGGTTCCCCACAATAAATAAGGGTTCTGTTACCAGAAGATGCTGAACAAACAAAAACATATATCCGCACGTAACCCAATAGGAAAGCAGGAAAAGGATATGAAGGACCTATGGTGACACTATAAATGGCCAATACACATAACCTCAGCCTCACCACTAATCAGGGAATGCAATTAAGGGTTCTTTTTTCCGCCCCCCTCATCCGATAGAACTATCACATGTAAGTAAGGCTATATGGGGAAATGAGCTTTTCCATACAGTTGGTAAAATATAAAGTTATGAAGGCCTATGGGAAGCTGAGATGGGTCTACCAGAGAGCACACCTTTGATGCAACAATCCACCCTATACAGCTCCATCCTAAAGAAATATTCACACACATGCACAAATATATATGAGAAAGATTTACTTTGGCAATGTAATAGCAAGAGAAAAAAATAAGAAAACAGTTCAGTAATGGTATTTTCATAATATTGAACCCTATTCAACCATTAAAGAAATTTAAAATCCTCAGGATAAGTTTTTAAGACACACACACAAAGCAAGCTGCAGAACAATATGTATTAAGATCCTATTCATGTAAAAATAGCTTTTCTATGTTTATGTATACCCACATGGATATGTACGGAAAGGGGACTAGATGAACGTATACTAAACTGCGGACAGTGGAATGTGATGGGAAAGACTACGAAGGGTCTCTTTGTTCTTATACCTGTGTGTATCATTTACATTTTGTACAATGGAGCTGGTAGTCATTTATACTCTTATCATGAAAAAAATTGAAATGGGCAAACACTATTCACAACAGGAAATGCAAATGGCCAATAAACAAATGAAGAAATGTTCCTCCTTATTAATAAAAAAATGAAATAAATTTTGCCCATCGAAGAGGCAAAACTATTTGAGGACACAGGACTGGTGGGCGTGTAGGCCAACAGGCAGTCGTACTGTTGATGGGGTTGTAAATTACTACAATCTTTTGGGTGGCATCTCTTAAAATGCTGAATGTACACAGTAGTAAGACCCCAAAAATCCACGTCTATTTATCCTACAGAAGTACCCACACGGGCAGCAAAACAGATGTACAAGGATGTTAACTATACCTTTATCTATAATAAAAAACTGGAAAGAACCAAATTATCCAGGGGTCGGTTAAATGAATTAGAGTATATTCATGCAATGGAATAGTATATGTAGCCATGAAAAACAAGGTCTGTATCAAAGTGGGAAGAAGAGGAGGCAAATCTCAGTGCGTGTATAGAAAATGGGCATTATGTACCTACCTCGTATGTGTGCTGTGAGGATTATGAGTTAATCCATGCTAGAGCACTTCAAACAGTGCCTTTATAGAAACCACAAGTGTCAGCTATCAACACATTGTCGCTTAAATTTGTATATGCCTAGTCCTGGAAGAATAACAAAGCAAGTAATTATTATTTCTGAGTAAGACTATGAGAAGGAATGTCTTTTTTTTCACTTTACATTCTGTACTATAGAAAATTTAAACAAGCATATTTAATAGTTTTCACATTGTTAACTATAAAAGATAAAAGCATCTGAACCATAAAAGGTAAAACCTAAAATCAAGGTTTAACAGCCACCACTCATGGCATTGTGGAAAAATAGACGTCCGTGGAGTTCACAGAACTAGATTTGAATTTCAGCTCTACTTGGCCACATGCAAGTCTCGGTCTCTGAATCCTGCTCGTCTAGTCTACAAATCTAAGAGAGATAGGTACAGTCTCTAGCCCAATGCCTGGCATGCAGATTATTTCAATACATACAACCCTCCCTTCAACTTACATAAATTGCTAGACCTACTGCTAAATGATTGAGTGCCAACTGGGTGTAAGTATAGGAAGCTTAATGCCAAGAACACCAGAAAGAACTGTAGCAGTAATGAGCAAAAAGCTCAGCGGCTACTGGGTAGGTATCAGCAGTCTGCATGCCATTAACACTGACTGCTCATTTGCCAACCACACAGACACCACTGCTTGTCAACTGCCAGATCACCACTTCATCAGAGGCTGGGCGGCCCCCAGAACTGCTGGTCAGCTGTGTGGGTATAAATAAAGGTAGAGATGAAATCATAAATCACTGAAGAGTTATTTTAAATCAATCTGTCTACTGGGGACATAACTAACCAGAGCCAGCCAGTACACAGACCACGTCCTTTTCCTGTGCACCATCAGCCAGTCCTTTGGATCAAGCCGTTTTCCCCACAAAGCCTTGCCTTAGCCTCAGAATCCTTCCCAAACAACCCCCAACTATCAAAGCCGGCAGGGCAAACATATCCGCCAGCTCTAATAGGACTTTTTCTAAGCTCTCACATTACACCAAACGTCTTTGGCATTTCAGACAAAACTACCACACGGAAGCCTCTCTGTATACAGGAAAGACATAAAATCTAAAAAGAGCATGAAATTTCGGTCACTGAGAGCCTGATCCCTTCTCATCTACTGTGATATAAGAATCCTGTCATCCCGGCAGAATTCCAAATACGCCACCTCAAAGCCCACCTGGAAAGAAGTCAGTTATAAATAAATCATTCAATAAACTCGAGACCCTTCTATCTCAGAGCAGAGGAGTCTGCGCCTTCACTGGGCACTGATCTGTTTCCTCGCAGCCACAGAGAAAACAGACCCCAACAGAAGTCCCTACATTTTCTTGTATAACTTAAAATACATTATATCATTACTACATATTTATACTTCAATAAATCTTAATCTATAAAGCACATTTCTTATAATTAATTGTTATCAGAAAACCTATAAACAAGCTCCACCTGCCTTACTTCCCCACCAGCGGGCCTTGCGTTTATCACTACGCTTTTGCACAGGCTCATGCAAATTTCACCTTCCATTTTTTAAATTTGATCCAAGCACCAGCTATCACCCACATCTCTGGAATTGTGAAATATCTGTATACACATGGGTCATTTTCCACACAACGGTGCCCACTGTAAAAACGCCTTTTCTCAGATTCTGTATTTTAACTTCTAGAGTTTCCCACTAAACAGCAGAACCACAGTACTTGGGATTCTCAGCCAAGGAATATATAATCCTACCACTACAATGTATTCCTTTTATACATTTTAAAAATGTGTTAAGACTTAAAATTAAAAAAAAAATACTTCAATCAATTCTGATAGTTAATATACTAGTTGTCAATAACCTAGTTATTTCTTTAAACAAAACAATCCTTTCAACTTAACATGTTAAGTACACCCTCAATGCTAGATCTCTAGATTGATTAGTATTTTTTTAAACCCACAAACCTCTAAACTGTGATAGAATTTTGGACTCACTACCGAAGAATGCTGGAGAGATGGCTAGCTCTCTGAGTCTTCCTTCCCCCCAAATATGACACCCGGTAAGAGAAACGTGGCTCTGAGAATTTCAGAGGTGACCTCCCCCAGGACTGCTCAGATGTGGGCAAGAGGCTAACTCACAAGAAACAGCTTTGTACCAAGCCCCAGAAACTTCCAGTGGAAGAATTACCTACCTACTCATGGCAGGGTTACAGTACCTAGCACAGTGCCTTGTCGGTAGAAAATGTTTAATAACAAATGAATACATGGCTGCTTTGTTAGCCTGGTGTTCAACCCTCTTCTTTCACCAAAAAAAATAAAAGAGCAAACCTGATACTTGTTACCCACCTGGTCAGAGATTTTTCTGTCCTTAACAAAAATGAAGACAAGATGAAAATGCAGTGGATCTTCAAGTCTTTTAAAGTTTTCTAAAATCCCAGAAAGACCATTACCTTTTACATGTGCCCTTCAACACAGTCATTCACTGCAAATTCTCCCTAGTGTTATTTCTACGTTCCTAGTTTACGAGTATTGTTTACTCGGCCCACCTTCTGATGAACCATGGGAGAACACGACTTTCATTGGTGGGATGTCCACATTACAGACAGGATGCACCCTTTTTGAGTTTTCTTACAGGCAGATAATTGCATTTAGATAAATTCTTAATGTACTTCAATTCTTGGATCAAAGTATTTTTCTATCTTTACCAATCTAGGCATCCCATTCACTTTTTGATGTTTTATCATCATCACTTCTAATTTTACCTTGAAACTTTTAGCCATCCTTTATCTTCTATTTTCTGAAATGCATATCCAAATTGGGTACAAAAGAAACAGAAGAGTCAATTTTGAAAAGATGGCTTCAGTTTTCAGACTTCAAAACTCCTATGTTGATTTTTAGTGTAGAAGGGAATGTATCCTTGCAAAGAACATCTCAATGATCAACATAGAACTCATGTATTTGTCTACAAAAGAAAATCTGAAGGGGACAAAGAATCGAGATTATTTGGGAAAAAAAAGAAAACAGAATATAAACATCACATGGAAGATTTAGGCATTAACACCTGAATTAAGGTTAAAATTTCAGTTTCTAGGCAGGTATGACACCATTTCTTTCAAGATAAAATAATGATGGGGCTGACAATTTTCTCTACGTCCCGGCGGGTTTTCTAACATTCTTATAAGGAAACCAAACTACTATGTATCATTCCGTGTTTTTGATTTTGTCTTCATTTCTGAAGAAAAAGACCTGAGTGCTGACTTTTTAAAAAATTTCTTAGACTTTCACAACATTCAGAAGTTTTTCTGCATTGTGTCTTCGCTGATGTCTAAAAAGATTTGAGCTTTGACTATAGGACTTCCCACACTGAACGCATTCGTACGGTTTCTCCCCAGTATGGATTCTTTGATGATTAATAAGCCCAGAATTCTGGCTGAAGGCTTTTCCACATTCGAGACATTTGTAAGGTTTTTCTCCAGTGTGGACCCTCTGGTGCTGCACAAGGATGGAGCTTCTGCTGAACGCCTTCCCACATTCGACACATCCGTAGGGTTTCTCTCCGCTGTGGATTCTTTGATGGAGAATAAGGGCTGAGCCCTGGCTGAAGTGTTTTCCACATTCATCACATATATGCTGTTTCTTTCTGGAAGGATTCCTCTTTCTTTCAAACCTGCCCTTAGGGAAACAGGCTTCTCCGTATTTAAACATCTGAGGAACACCTATATTGAGAGTGCCAGGAACTTCATGAGATTCTACTGCTGAAGGAATCTCCTGCTTTGGAGCTAATGCTCCATTTTCAGTCCTAACATCATCATCTGAAATAAACAGAAAATGTAAATATCACTCATTCTCTATTCTTAGAGAAAGGAACCTGCCAAGAAAAAAGTTTTAATAGACTTAAAAGTAAAATAGATAGCTTGCATACATCTGTAACAGTACTCTGAAAAGTGGTGTCACGGTTGCCTACCTCGAAAGAGAAAAAAATGAAATGACTGATTACGAGGTAAATAACATAGTGAGGGGTGAAACAGTTAAATCTGAATAAAGTAGTAACATACATTAGTGGGTTCTAGATGGCAACGAGAAAACAAAGGACAGAAAGATGGGAGATTTTAAGACTGTTGGGAAGACAGTAACAGTGATGCAACTAGGTCTGGATGGAAGTCTGAAAGAAAAATAAAATAAGGTTGATCATAAGAAAATCACTGTAATATTCTTTTGCTTTGAAAAAGAGAAATTACATCAAAATACAATGGTGTAAAAAATGAGCAACCAGTCAGAAGGTGACTATTTTTGAATAAGCAAGACAAAGCAGGTCACAGGCAAGAGTCGAACACAGGAGCTGTCCCGACAAGAAGGGGCTGAAGATGCGCTGGGAGCATCCTGTCTGAACTCAGGCCACGACACTTACAAATTCCACATGCCCTTCATAAATCAAAGCTTTCCTGTGGAAGAAGCCTGCCCTATTTTGTATTTCTCAGGGCACCTAGATGACTTCCTACTTCTCAGTCTTAGTTAGAAGAGTCTAGTGAAAGAAAAGCCTGAATTACCAGATGAGGTACCATCCCATCTGCGGACAGCCACATGAGCAAGCCTCATTTAAGACTTTCCTGAAACGCCAAGCCTTGAAAAGTCAAGACAGTTACTACAGGGTGAGCAGCAGCACTCAGGAAAGTGGTAGTGAGTAGCCTACAATAAATGATTAAGAAAGGGATAAAGTCAGGGGAGAAGGCTGAAGACGAGAGACTGAAGGGGTGGAGGGGACTAGTGAGACCTGGAGACTTGAAGAACAGAGGCGTGGGAAGGTTAAGTGGAGACAAGTAGCACAGTGGGTAGTAAGTTTTCAAGCATAGAGACCAGACTGTTGAAATGAGGTACTCAAAGATAGGTGAAAAGTAATTGAAAACTCAGGCAGGGTAGAAGTTTTCTACATAAGAAAATGCCACCTCCAAACCAAGGATAGTGCTTTGCAAACTTTACTGCATAGAAGAATGTCCCCTGAAACCTTAAAACTGCAGATTCTCAGCACACTTCAGCGGCCACGCCAGAAGTTCTGCTTTATCAGCGCGCTGCCCCTCCCCCATCAACCAGGAAGATCTGCTCAGACCTCACTCGGTGACACTCCAGTTCGACCTCCAACTACCTCAAGGAATGATCCCCAAAGTGGTCTCAAACAAAACTTCACTTCAGTTCATATAAATATGAGAAAAGATATCCAAAAGTTTTAGAAATAAACTGGGCTGTGTCATAGAATACAAATAAGTGGCATTCATGGTCAATACATTGGGAAAGACTAGTCTAATTGTTCTGTTACTTAAAGCTTATTATAGCTAGGCAGCCTATTTTTGCATAAATACACAGAAAAGGTGAATAGCTTTACCCAAATATCATTTCTACAGAACCTTCTTAGAAAAAAACACCTCTAGATAGGATATTGAAGAGAAGAAAAACTAGCAGAAACTTTAGAAAAACTTCAGTCAAAAACAACAAAGAAAACAGACTTGGAGAGGCTTCAGGTAAGTTTACTGTACCATAAGATTAGACGGGAGACTGAAAGGACATGGAACGGATGACAAACACGCAACACTGCGTGCAAAATACAGGGACCCGGTCCACAGGTAGGTTCTGGCTCAGAGTAAGGCAAACGCCAGCCAGCCTGAAATTGCAAAGTTTTCAAGAGAGAGGTGAGAGGGAAGAAAAGGCTGATGTTGATGACTAGGAATAAAAGACCTGAGGTCAGCAACCCAATTGTTGGAAGAACCAAGCTCCTACAATGTGTCCAGCCTCAGGGATCTCTCTCTCTCTCTCTCTCTCTCTCTCTCTCTCTCACACACACACACACACACACACACACACACACAAATAAGCACAGGGTCCTGGACAAAAGGCCCACACTCTTTCACCCTCCACCCACAGGCAGTTCTGGTCCTCACCACAGTGCCTTAGGGAATGGAGCTCCCAGGATGCCCACTTCAGCTGGTTTTCCACGGCATCAAGCTCAGAACTTGGTAATCCCTGAGCTTCTTCTTGAGAAACAATCTCCTCTACCAGCACTTCCCGTTTTCGTCGACGGAGAGAAACCTGGAAATAAGATTTGGTTCAGTTGATAGGGAGTTTGATGAGAATCAGAACTAACTGCACATAACAAACCACACAAAACATATACTGCAGCTGAGTGACTCCCCTACTGGTACGCCAGTGCTTCCGACCAGGAAGCGACACAACCAGGCTCACCGGCTGTCCAGGGTCATCTAGTTCACTCTCTAAATCCTCCAGCACTGTCACTGCCTCCTCTCCATTCTCTGGATTATGCTCTCGAACCCAAGTCTGCAGCTCCTTGGGGAGGATGGCAACAAACTGCTCCAGCACTACTAGCTCCAAGATTTGTTCTTTTGTGTGCGTCTCTGGCCTGAGCCATAGACGGCAAAGTTCTCGAAGCTGGCTCACGGCTTCACGGGGCCCAGGTGAATCCTGGTATCCAAACTGCCTGAATCGCTGTCGGAAAACCTCTGGGTCCGGGAGATGGTTCCAGGGAATACTTGATCCCTCTTCACCATCAGGATCCTCCTCCAACTTCACTCTCAGGATCTTTTCCTCTTCATCCGGAGTCGGGATGATAAGTATCGAATCTTCTTCTACTGACTGTGCAGACATCCTGATTTATAAATACTTCAAGAAAAAACAATCAGGGCAGGCAGGATATTAGGCCTCGGGGAAATACCTCGTTTTCTTCACAGGCAGTCCTAAGGCACAAAAAATTGAAAAAACATATAAATGACCAAATATCCTAAGAATTTGGACATACACTGAGATAAAGGAAGTTAAGACATTTCTCCTTTTACTGAGTTAAAAATTCCAATCAATAAACCACCAGAAGCTGGCAAACTACAGCTCAGGGCCAAATATGGCCTATTGTCTGTTTTTATATCATACTTGTATTAATAGTTTTCACATTTTTACATGGTTGAAAAAAATTAAAAGAATACTTCATTACACGTGAAAATGGTATGAAATTAAAATGTCTGTGTCCCTAAATTATTTTATTTGTTCACAGTTCACACTATATGGCAGAGTTGAACTGTTGCCAGAGACGATACAGCCTAAAAAAACCCAATACTCACTATCTCGCCTTTTTAAAAGATTTTTTTTTTTAAAGATTATTTCTTTATTTATCTTTAGAGGGGAAGGAAAAGAGAGAGGGAGAGAAATACCAATGTACGGTTGCCTCTCATGCATCCCCTGCTGGGAACTGGCCTGCAACCCAGGCATGTGCCCCGACTAGGAATTGATCTATGATCCTTTGGTTTGCTCAATCCACTGAGCTACACCAGCTGGGGCAGATTTTATTTACTGTTAGAGAAAGGGGAAGAGAGGGTAAGAAACATGGATGTGCCAGCAATTGGTTGCAGGCCGCCAACTGGGGACCTGATCCACAACCCAAGCACGTGCCCTGATTGGGAATCGAACCATCGAACTTTCAACGCACAGGCTGGCACTCAGTCCACTGAGTCACACCAACCAGGGCATGCTACCTGGCCTTTTAGAGAAAAAGTCCGACCTATAAAAATCAATACGCCCTATTTCAAAAATCAAAAAAATCCAAGTAAGAACCAGCCCACCTCAGTGTTTTCTAAATGCATCTGATTCTGAAACACATTATCTGCAACTCAAGATTAGTGTTCCCTGACACACAGGTCAACTCAAAAACTAGGATGCTTTTTTATGACCTGCTTAAGGAAAAAAAGTTTAAGACAAAAAAAATTTTTAGTTAAAAAAAAATGTTTAAGAACTCCCTACACTTCAGATATATGTGAAAAATTATTCACTTGTTCATAAACAGGTAACATAATATTGAAAAATAGCCTCCAGTGCCATACAATGAAAATATTATTCAGTCACTCACCACAACGTAATCACATTTAAATTGGACAGGCATTAATCTCAAAAAATTCTATGAAAGGCACTCTCATAACCACCTTGACTTCTTGCAGTCATCCAAGATCTTGTCGTTACACTGATGACTCACAATTTTCCCAGCTTTTTCCGAAGGGAAGGAAACCTTGCACTATTTCTGATCATTTCCTCAGTATCTGCACAGTCATGCCCATGCCACTGCTCACAACACACACTAGAAATGGACCGTGCAGCTACCCAATGCATCTACTCAGGGCCCAGAATCTGAAAAGCAACTAATTAAAAAAAAAAACAACTTATTACAACCCTATTAAGAGGGAAACTAGGATCAGAAAAGACCTTATCAGACAGGTAATAGACAAAAGTTTAACTACGCTGGAGCGTGGCAGCCTTATTACATAAAGTTTAGCCAACAAATTTGTTCGTTCTTATTCCTACCTTGTCAACGGGTTGAGCATTCCATATAAAAAAAAATTTCTCTTCTATGTTCTCATACCGCACCCTGCTCGTGGACCGTGCAGGAGCTGCCGAGAGGGCAGGCCCGTGGTCCCGACAGTTTGCGTGGGTAGCCTCGTTCGGGTGATCTCCCCACCTCACTCCTGCACAGTGCAACTGCGAACCCCACCCCGGCCCCGATTTCCTCTGTCCTCGCAGCACTCAATGCCACGGATTTCCCCAGATCAAAGGCCACCCTGGCACATTAACAGAGGAGCCACTGGACTTCCCTCGCGGCCGACTGAACTACAAGTCCCGGCAGCTCTCGCGCAAGGCCCGCCCTTCCCCACCACCGCCCGACCGACTCCCAGAACTCTCCTCGAGACGCCAGGGCCTGGGAATAGAACAAAACCGGCTGATGGGGGAAGGGAAAGACAAGGGTCGAGGAGGACAAGGAAAAAGAAAGACCATCGGAGGATGCAGAAAGTCCTATCTGGCCCTTCGCCAACCGCTCCGCGTGCTACAACTGCTGGGCGCGAGGATCGTGGCCTGTACCCCGCACCGCCCACGGACTCGAGGAAGGTCCCCGCCAGGTTTCTTCGCTGGCTCCTTCCAGGCCGTTCGCAGCCCCTACCCCAGCGTACCCCGCACACCCTGATGCAAACCTCCGGCTCGGGAACCGCAGCACCTTCACTGTGCAAGGCAGACGCAGAAACGCCACTCACAAGCTGTTTCCCAGAAGCCCCCGGCGCGGGCTGCTTCCGGTCTGCGGGCCCCAGGAGGCGGAGGGAGGCGAAGCCCCGCGTTGCCGTGGAGATGTGCTCCGCGTGGGGGAGGGGCAGCCCTACGACAATGACCGCTTTGAGCCTGGGTTTGGCCTGGTGCCTCTTTCCTCGGGTAGCCCAACGTTCTGTGTTCCGCTTAAAAGACAAGTTAAAGAAAGAGACAATTCTGCAATTAAGATAGTCTTTATGGTTTCACAAACCCTTTCACATGCATTTTCTCATGTGATCTTCACAGTAATCCTCTGAAAGAAGTAATAAAAGCTTATATTTATAAATGCTTAATACATAGTGCCAGGCACTGTCACCAAGGTTTACATATATTGCCATTAAACTCCATAACCCTGTGCTGTAGGAGCTTTTATTATCCCCATTTCACTGCTAACGAGTGCACAATAAATAACCTGCCAAAAACTCATAACTAACAAGCAGGAAGCAGGATTTGAAACCAATGCATGATTCCAACTTTTGTTTCCCATTAGCTATATTATAGAACTGTATTTTGATCAATTTATCTAGTAGGGAAACAAAATGAGACAGGTTGGAGCTTTGGGAACAATCTCATGTTGAAGTTGTAGAATTCATCTAATTTAGGCTGGCCATTTTATACCACAAAACAGCTGCTGAAGTGATCATTTAATAACGTAAATCAGACTGCTTTATTTCCTATTTAAAACCTGATTGGTGGGCTCAGTTGATTGGGAGATTTCTGCACAGTGAACAGTCACAGGTTACAATGTTTCTCTCCTCTCTCCTCTCCCCCTCTCTCTAAAATAAATAAATAAATAAAATATTAAAAAGTAAAATAAAGGCCTTCACTGGATCCCCACTGAGTATAACATAAAAACTCCTTACTTCTGCCTGTCCCCTACCTTCCCTCTCTGAAAGCTGAGGCTCACCTTGGCCCAGGATCCTCAGCCTCACTGACCACCTTTCCTCCTGAGAGCCTTCCCACCCTATGTAGCAGTATTAAAAGTGATTCGGTTTTATTTATTTCCATGTTTTTTTGTTTTGTTTTGTTTTTGGATGCCCTAGAAGGGCAGGAAACTTGTCTGTCTTGTTCAACATAGTATCCCCACCTAGTCATAGGGTGCTGGCAGCCGGGTTTATAGAGAACTTAACAAATATTTGTAGAATAAATGAATGGATTGTGCTGGCTTCATTGGTGCCTTTGCTAAGTCACATGTCAGGCATCAGAAACCACACAAGAGTCCTGTTGTTTAAAGTAGGTCCAGTCTTCCAGAAGCATTGCAAGTTCAGGTTTTGGTTCCCTTCCTCATTCAGAAAAGTGCCCTCTGCAAGGTGCCTCCAGCCTCTGAGCAATTTGTAAATGAGAGAGCAAGTTAGGGAGCAGCTGATGGTATAGCTGCATTTGGGTCACTTTGTACTGTGACCCAAACTTCATCTCCCCAGAACTCCTGGGGAGATCCTGACTCTGGTCCTCTTCTTTCTTTCTTCATTTAGGAGGATTCAGAAGTCCAGCTTTTTCAGTCCTCTACTTGGCTATTGCCACCAATCTGCTTTGCTGCTTTTATTACATTTCCCTCTGTGGTGACTCTAAAGGCTATCTCAAGGCATTTTTGTTTTGTTTTACTTTAAGAGTTTTTACATGTAGTTAATATTGGAAAACAGAAAAGATCATCAAACAGAAACACTTTAAGTTAAACATGTTGCAAAATTTTACAAAACCCTTGGCTGGGATTCTGTTCTATAGTTCCTAATTCTTTCTAAGAGAATAAGTGGAAACCACAATGAGGTTTTCCTCTTTTGAGGGTAAGGGCTGACACCTCTTTGAAACACCACCTTTCTGAGCCCCACTGTGTGGGCTCTTTTCTGAATCGTGGTCCTTGAAGCCCTCTTAAAGATCTAGTCAAGCCCTGGTCTGGTAGTTCAGTTCATTAGAGTGTCATCCACATACACCAAGATTGTGGGTCACATATAAGAGGTGACCAGTGAATGCGTAGATGATGGGGGGAGCAGCAAATTAATTTCTCTCTCTCTTTAATACATTTTTAAAAAATAGTTAAGATAGAACATCTTGATCCTATGAGCAACCTGAGTGTCGTGAATAGCTTCATGCCAGCACTGGATAACTTTGGACACATCTACAGAGGCCACATAAACAAGGCTTGAACAGCGGCTGATCTGAGCCTTGGCAGAACACCTTGTGATCCTCCCAGAATACGAGAGCACGAGGGACTTGCAAGTAGCTGCTACAAGGCCATTTGCCACTTGGTTCCCGGTCTTCCAAGGAAGAAGACAATTTCTCATTGCTTCCTGGGTTGTGATTAAGGCTTTCTGCTTCCCACCTACCCCACCCCCTTCTGTACAGCTGCAGACTATGAAAAGGCTTAGAAGCAGCATGGTATCAGCACTTCAGCAGCAAGGCAGTCCACAATTCACAATGCAGTCATCTGGTTCCTTTTGTTTCGGTGTGTGAGACAGAATTTCACGAGGGGCTGATACTTTAAGCTAATCTCACTTTCACTCTCTGTGTAAATAACCTGTCTAAATCTAAAAAGGACAGATTATTATTGTTTCTTTGCTAGACAAAACTTTCAACTTTGCCTTAAGACTCTCACTCATTGTTTCAAATAAATCTCATCAATTGTTTTAAAAAATAATCAAGCAAACAAAAAACGGGTACTACAGAGGTTCCAGAGAACTAAAGATAACTAAAATGAAATCATGATTTCTTCTTTTAGCATCACCATCTCTGTAAGGAAATAGACAAGAACAAAAACGTGTTTACAAGGCAGTGGAGAAGTACCGCAGTAGAGCAGAACCGAGTGAGCGCAGGAAACCTGAATGAGGTAGTGTGCCGGGGAGTGACGGAGGCACGCTGAGACGGAGGAAGGGAAGCAGCGTTTCCCTTTGGAAGAGAAGCACAGGCTTTCAGATAGGGCGTTATCAGTTCCACCCAATAGTCTTTTCTAGGCTTTTCTCTAACAGTTATTTGGGAGTTCTCAGTCCCACTTCGCAGCTCAAAAGTTTTTCCCTCCAGGAACTTTAAGTACGCTGGTTAAAGATTCCATTTTATTGTAGCTGATAAGTACGGTGTTGGAATCTTTTGTTTGCAAGTGACTAAAAATCTAACAGTGGAAGACCGTCACTTCTAATACACCCCCAGTGTCTTTGATTTGGGAGTGGGAGGCCGGCAACACTCTGCTCAGCCACAGGTGGTGTGTTGTGATTCAGCTGAGCCATCGGGGACCACTGCTTCCCTTGCCAGGTACTCGCTTTGCCTCCGAGGCAACTGGGAATGGCCTTATTATTCCATTCTGGTCAGTGAGATGTAAGAGGAAGTAGTTTTGTCTTTCAAGAAATGTACCTAATTTTCCTGGTTGAGTATCTCAGTTGGTTAGAGCATTGGTCCAATAAGCCAAGGTTGTAGGTTCAATCCCTGGTCAGGGCACATACTAGAACCAACCAATGACTGCATAGATGGGGGGAGCAACAAATCAATGTTTCTCTTTCTATTTTTTCACTCCCCTTCTGCTCTCTAAAATCAATTTAAAATATTTTTAAATTGATTTGCGCAATTATGGAAAGCTACTTGGATATTTATGGACAGGGTTTTGCGTGAACACAAGTTTTCATTTCTCTAGAGTATCTAGAAGTGGGACTGCTGGGTCACATGGTGTTATGGACCTGTATGTTTGTGCCGGTTCCCCAAGTTCACCTGTTGAAGCCCTGGCCCCCCACTGTGTTGGTGTTTGAAGATGGGCCTTTCGGGAAGTGATTATGTTTAAATGAAGTCATGCCAGCAGGGCCCTCAGTGGACTAGTGCCCTTATAAGACAAGATACAGAGATAAGGGATACATTAAAACGGGGTAAATTAATAAAATCTTTAAAGTATTTTTCTGATAGTCGTAACATCTTTGTTACTAGGCACTAGCAGAATTTAATTTTTCCTTGCAAATTGAGATATTCCAGGTTCTTCCTATGCCTAGTAATTTTGCATTGTATCCTGCTCATTTTGAGTATTATGTTGTCAGAGCCTGGGTATCATCTAAACCCTAAGGAAAAATTGATTTGTTTGTTTTAGCAGGCAATGGCTCTACTTAGGGTCAGGCCAAGTTCTGATCTGCATTGTGTGGGCTGAGGTTCCAAAGAAAGTTCTGTTTTCAAACACTTTCAGTGCAATTTTTTTTTTAAATTTATTTCTTAGAATGGGGAAGAGAGAGGGAAGGAGGGAGAGAAACCAATGTGTGTTTGCTGCCCCCCACTGGGGGCCTGGCCCAAAACTCACGCATGTGCCCTAGACTGGGAATCGAACCAGCAACCCTTTGATTTGCAGACCAGCACCCAACCACTGAGCCACACCAGAAAGGGTACTTCCAGTGCAATCTGGATCTGCCCTTTGTGTATGCCACCCAGCAGCCAGTCTGGATGCTGGGTGAGTCTACTCTAGCTCAGTTCTCTATGCCTGCTGTCCACTGTTTAGGGTCAGATCCACACATGTGCAGTTTAGAGGAGAGCAGAAGAGTTCATACACTACTTTTGGGGACCACACTTGGTCCCCATCTTCTATACAATAAATCCAACACTTTCTGGCTTCCCGAAGCCTCCATTACTAGTCATCCAGTTAGAAAGCTGGAGTTTTGGTTTCCCTACTCTGTTGTTTACTTCCTTCAACTATGTCTGCATCCTGGTCCAAACAGCGGATGACACAGAGAGAATAAAGACAACGGGGACTGGCACCATGTTCTTGGGACCAAAGCTCCTATGATGAGAGCAGAGGGTTCCCTTGCAAGTATAAGGAGCTTTCCCTGTGACCTCTGCCATTGCTGTGCTACTGCCGTAGTATTGCCTGGAGGCCAGATCAGCAAGGAGAGAGCCCCCTTTCATTCTGAAAGGGAGAAGAAATCATGGAAGAAGCATGGATAAATCGGCGAATTCGGTTGTAGGAGGCTGTTGGAGTTGTAATCTTTCTTTTCCTGTAATGCAGGAGGTAAAAATCATAGTCATCTGCCTATGATGAAGAAGGTGGCCAGAGGAAGGAGTATGGCAACACTGTTGGTTGACCCGACATTGTTCCCAATCCCCACCTGACCTGCTGCTTTCACTCTACAGGTTAGAAACATCTACTTCACCAGACACACAAGAAAACGTAGGCAAAAATTTTGTGGTGGTTTCTTGGAAAGCTCTTACTTTTCCTGGTAGAATAGACAGCCACGCCCATGGCCCCTTTCCACTTTCCTCTTGTCAGGACCTCGGATGTTGCTCCTGGAGCTGGGACGGTTTTTGTGCATATCTGAGAAAGCAAGCATGAAGTACAGGCCAAAAAAGGGTACCGTCCAGCTGCTGACTGACAGCAACAACTCACCCTTCTAGATTTCTGCAGTCTTATTTACTTAAGCTACAAAAAGTAGGTTTTTCTTCCCAAAGCATTCCTGCTGCAGGAAGGCTTAATTTAAGGACAGTGATGGACATGTTTTCAAAAAGAACAGCAGTGAAGGAAGGAACATCAGATTATAGATATAAATAATATCGAAGGACCAGATAAAGTGAAATTCATTTTATAAATGAATTTTTCACTTCAAACTATTTACTATCTGGAAAAAAATCAATCTAACATGGTACTAATATGATGCTAATTTTTATCAAGGTTAGCTTAAGTCATAGCAATTCTCCATTTAGATACAGTTTCTACTTATTTGGAGACCTCTGTAAGTGCAAGATAACTTCAAATACACAGCAACACCATTTAAAGATTCATCACGTGCCCTGGTTTGAGCTGGCTCAGTGGATTGAGCACCAGCCTGCGAACGAAAGGGTTGCCAATTTAATTCCCAGTCAGGGCACATGCCTGGATTGCCGGCCAGGTCCCCAGTGTGGGGGGCGCACGAGAGGCAACCACACACTTTCTCTCCCACTTTCTCCCTCCTTTCCCCTCTCTAAAAATAAATAAATAAAATCTCAAAAAAAACCCCAACCCATTCATCATGCACTTAGATAATACGATTCACCTTTCTGGTGGAGTTCAGATTACCCACAGTGCAGAGAATGCAGCTCTGTAGTTTATGGCAGCACCGAGTGAACACAGACGCTTCCCTCAGATCTACTTGACCTGGATTGTCCTTTTATCCACACAGTGCCTCAGAAACTGCCTTTCCACAACTGAGCAGTATTTCACAATATACACATCTCTCGGGCATTTGCTGCTGTAATAGATAGCTTATTCCTCTCTGTACTTAAGAGAACAAGCACCAAATAGACTCCCTACACTTTCTTAAAGATTTTACTTATTCATTTTTAGAGAGAGAAGGAAAGGATGAAGAGAGGCAGAGAAACATCAATGTGTGGTTGCAATCCCTTCTGGGGACCTGGCTAGCAACCCAGGCATGTGCCCTGATTGGGAATCGAACCAGCAACACTTTGCTGCTTCGCACGCCTGTGCTCAATCCACTGAGCTATACATCGGCCAGGGCAGACTCTACATTTTGAATAATGGAACATATACAAACCCCTAATATATATTCATATTCCCTAGAACTATAAAATATAATAACTATCAGGAAAATTCTACAGTTAAAATTTACATTTATTTCTCCCCTTACTAATCTTACATTTATTAATATAGTAACTACACAAAGCACAGTAATCCCACATTTGTTTCTGGAGTTAATTTGACACTAGATATAATTGGGTTTTCTGATAATAAAATGTTTGTGCTTCATGAGGAAACCGCTTAGATGAAGTTCACGGTGAGGCCCCTCTTCTCCTTGCATTCCACGGCTCTCCCTTGTTTGCCTCCACGTTGGGTAACAGTGGCACCGTGGGAAACAGTAATACACAATCTTACCAAGAACGCCAGAGAAGGGAAAATTATGTTGTATACTGTCAGAATAATTTTAATAACATAAAAGTCAGTCACTTTATATTTAAACAGGGGGTCAAACTGAATATGGATAAAACTTTGGTGAACTCTAAATTTACTTTAGTGTTTTCATTAGTACAAGAAGACAGAAATCCAGGGTCTTGCTTTGCGACAGCTTGTCTAGAAACTCATCATATTAAGAATGCACAAAACCCTGAAAAGACTGTCTTGTGATGCTCGAAACACGTTCACAGCTAATTTATTCCAGAAAGAGCCGGGAAGAACCCTGAAGGGTAGTCATCAGCTGTTCACAGTTTTCTTTCCAGGGTAAGTCGTGGGATACTTCTCCGTCACACACCGCACTTGCCAACGTTCGCATTACCTCAGTGAATCTCGCTTGGACAGTCTTTTCTTCATCTCCCTTTTCCCTCCATATTAAGGTGACCACCAACCTTACATGAGCCCTCGCAGACAACCCAACTTATTACCAGAACATTCTTTATGTTTAAGCCACTCCCTGAAGACATGTTGAGTCATCTTAATGTTTTCACTGAGTTATTTACAAATTACATTGTAAAAGAGATTTTTTCCTATACAGGAAATGTCTTAGTCTTATTGGTAATGTGTAGGGTCTTGTGAGTTTTCATAGAGATTAAGCTCCTTTACTCACCTACCTCCTGACAATGACCCTGAACATTTCAGCCTAGATCTTGAGGAACAAACTCTTTTGGGCCTCTTCCATCCTATTCTCATATTCTGAATCTGATAACAGAAAACAAAATGGGGGAAAATTTTTTTAAATGCTTTTATCTTTGGTCTGAGAACTCCAAATCTCAATGGTATGAAATGGAAGAGAATGTCAGTATTTTTATACTGAGTAGCTCACCTCCTTCTCAACATGGGAAATGTGTTTGTTTAAAAAGAAGTATATAGTGGTCCCTCAGTATCTGCAGAGGACTGCTCCCAGGGTCACCTACCTTCCCTCCCCCGCCCTCCAACTCTGCAGATGTTCAAGTCCCTTATATAAAATGGCATAGGACAATGCATAAAGTTGGCCCTCTGCACCCACAGACTCCCAACCACAGAGCAAAAATACCGTTTTCAGTCTGCGGGTGGTACAAACCCAGGGATATAGGGGGCCAACTGTGTACTTATTTTAAAAAATCTATGTGTAAGCAGTAAATCTGTGCAGTTCAAACTGGTGCTGTTCAAGGGTCAACTGTACTATTTCATCATTCGTGCTGAGTGGGACTAATAGAAAATGTCTGAGAATTTCTTTTCAAGAGCTACCCTAGGGATGGAAATCTCGATTAAGCTTTAGAATCTTAAACATCTGAATTAACAAGGTAATGATAAGCAGAAAAGCAAACAATGCTGACATAAAGGTAGCCTCTATTTCCTCCTGTGGCTTTTATGGCCATGGAAAGAAAACCAGTGCTCATCAGAACCACTGATCTATACTAAGAAGTTGTTTGTGCCTTTTGTCTTCTTCTTCTGTTGAAAAAGCTCTGAGCAAATGCTTCGATTCCCTCACGACACTGATGGGACTTCTTCCTCTACTGTGGCTTTTTCTGTGTCTGAAAAGATTGGAGCTCTGACTGAAGGCTTTCCCGCAGTCGTGGCACTTGTAAGGCTTCTCCCCGGTGTGGACTCTTCGATGCTGAATCAGGACCGCACTCCGACTGAAAGCCTTTGCACACACATCACAGGCATAAGGTTTCTCTCCACTGTGGATTCTCTGATGTAGCAGAAGGGCAGAGCTCTGACTAAAGGTTTTGCCACATTCGTCACACTTGTGTTGTTTTTTCCGAGAAGGATTTCTGTGTCTTCTTTCAAACATGTCACTTTGTTCGTCAGTTCCTCTAGACGTGAAAGTCTGGGAAGCATTCACATGAACGATGTTAGAAACACCGTAATGCGGTTCTATCCCTGAACTCTTTTGCTTTGAAGCTGATTTCACATTTACGGTCCTAGTGGCTTTATCTGAAATAATACACAGAAAATCAAATGTCACTCATTCTCTGTTCAGAAGGAAAGAAAGGAAAATAGAAAGATCCCAGTGAAACACACATGAATCATTTACTAGCTAGCACATTTGTAAAAGACCGTCACAATGTGGAGGATGGAGAGTGTAACGCAGACAACACTGAAATCATAGCAGGAGAGAAACCTGCAGTCTGAGGACGCAGTCAGGTGGAAATCAGAAAAGCTCTAAGTAAAGGCAGAACAGCGAGTCGGGGTTAAAAAAAAAGACACGTCAGAGGCTGAGGAAAGTCTGGACAAAAACAAAGAGCCTCAGTGAGGAGGAATTATTGGAGGAACAGAGGAGCAGCTGGAAGAGAGGACTCAAATGTCGTAGTAGATAGTAACAAACAGGAGTGTCAATCAACAAAACAAATTTAATAATGATAAGTGAATCAGTAATTAAGCAAAGGAAGGAGATGAAGAAAACCAAGGGGTCAAAAGGGATATGGAAAATAAGGTCAGATAATACACGTGAGGCAAAAAAAAAGTGTGGTGGGAGAATACAGACTAGGATAACACCTCCAGAAGTCAAGGGTAGCACAGAGTACCCATCCACAAAACCCCTCTTCTCTTCTGTGTTTTATACTTCTAGTTGAATGGCATTATTTCTGGTTTAAGTAGAAATCATCTACGTTATTAATTGTAAGAAACTCCTTCCCAAGAGACCTCAGTGTCTAGTCACCACTGTCACAATCCTGGCAACAGGCAGCACTTGATTGATTGCACGGAGACCACGACCACCTGCACAGGCTCTGATTTGACTCGGTACCACGGAAATCATGCAGCGGCCTTAAGAGATGCTCCTAGTAGGCTACCACGACTCTGGTTTTCTCTGCCTTGAATTAAAAGATCCTGGGCCTTCTGCTTTTGGTTTCAATTTCTATGCACCTATTTGCAAAGAAATTTGAAACAAAATTTATGCAGATAGAACTACATCTATTTGCAATTTGGTTTCTAATTTCTAGTCCCAGGTAGAACCTGGTTCTCGCCAACAACAGGAGCCCAGTACCTGTCTCTGCGGCTGATCGCTTCTTCAGTCATCACCGCACACAGCTGCTGAGGCCGGATGGTTTTCCTCGCCACCCTGAGGGAGTGTGGAAAGTCTCCCACTTTCCCTGCTTTTCTCCTCGTTAAGCCAAGGCAATTGCTAGACTGACCGTGCTAAATGCTCAGTACAAGCCTCTTGGGAGTAGATATTTTTCAAATAAGAGTGAGAAATCTTTTCTAAACGTCTCTCTAAGTTCTTATATATTTTTGGGTTTTTTTCCTGTAGTTTTTTTTTATCAATACTCCCTCGAATAAACTACCCCTGCTAGCGAATCAGCCTCCCTGGAATATAGGCGCAGTGGGAGGGGAGAGGGCAGGGCCCCCACAGGTAGGGCTTCCCTCTTCGTCCCTGGCTCCCATTCTATCGAGGATGGTCCCCTAGGTGGGGCTCTGCTCAGATGTCACCTCCTCAGAGAGGCCTTCCCTACCACTGTGTTTAATAAAGGCCTGTCCTCACTTCATTCGTCCCCCTTATCGTGCCTTGTTCCCACCCCTACAGCACTTATTTTTGTAGTATTTGCAACGGAAGAACAGGTTGCTGTGCTGGCCACTTTGCAGGACTTCTGTAAAAATAATGCAAGGAACAACAGAGGCCAGTTTAGAATGGGAAGGGGTAGAGAGACACATTGAAAGCACTGTCAGAGGGCAAAGTCATCTTAGCAGCAAAAGAGCAATTTTGATACTGGATCTCACCGGTAACTGAGCAACAAGCTACACAGAAAATAATGTAGACTAATGGTCCTTAACTGTAACCTTGGGGTCCTCAAGGACTTCAGGCCTCCTGGTAATAAAAGAGATCAGAACAAGGCCAAGATGGAGCCCTTGTGGGCTGAAATTGTTTGTCAGAGTAGCTGTCTCTTTGTCTGTTTTATATCAGGGAACTCCATGTAAATGTCATTTGAGAAAAGGGTCATGCTGCTTTAAATAAAAAGGTTTGAAAATCCTGATAGAGGTGATGGCAAGAATGTTAAAAATCTGCAGATTTTATAGAATCTATGAGAAAGAAACAAGAAAACACCGAGCATGTTCATTAGCATGACATACATTGGTAGAAATTCCCACAGTAAAGACGAGGCTGGAGCGGAGATTTGAGACCTCAGGTGGGGAGCAGCTGAGAAGTGTGCTGCAGGCTGAGTCCGCCTTTGCCCTGCACTGTGCACTAAATTCCACCCTCACCGTTTGGTCTGGAGGGGTGGAGCTCCTGGGGTGTGCACTGCAGCTGCTGCTTTGCAGGCTTCAGCGGGCCACTTGGTGACTCCTGAGTGACTGCCCACACTGCCACTTTCTCCGCAAGTATGTCTTCATTTTGTCCCGAAACCTGGAAACAGGTTATCTGAGGATGAAGAAATTGGGTTGGGACTTCAGGATAAAGTAAGACATAAGAAACTATGTAGCAAATTATCTTGAGACACAGAGAAAGGGAGGAAAATAGCAGAGCCCCATTCTATTTTCTGGCACAGCTGGGAGTACATTTACCCACTACAACTGAATGGGAGTGCGGTTTGAGAGCTCTACCGGCAGTGATTCACCAGAGCTCCCAACACAGCCTGGTCACTCATCCCCACAGATGTCTTCTTACCTGCTCTGCTGGCACATCAAGCTCTTTCTCCAGCTCTTCCAGCATAGTCACAGCTTCCTCTCCGTTCTCCGGTCGGTGCTCTCGCAGCCAGGCCTGCAGCTCCTCTGGCAGGATGGCCAGGAACTGCTCCAGCACCAGCAGCTCCAGGATCTGCTTCTTGGTGTACACCTCTGGCCTCAGCCACAGACAGCAAAGCTCCCGGAGCCTGTTCAGAGCCTCCCGGGGCCCAGGGGACTCCTGGTAGCCAAACTGCCTGAACTGTAGGCGAAATGTCTCCAGGCTACAATAGCTTCTCAAGTGGAGACTGGATTCCTGATTACAGATCTCCTCTTTCCCTTCCATCTTCACTACTAGGGTGCTACCAGGCTCTTTTGAAGTTTGTGGCGGGAATATTGACTCAGACATTCGGACTGCGAATAGCTTAGGACTGCCAGGCTTTAATTTTCAAGGAGGTGAAGCTCTCCTCACGGATAATCCTTAAATACAATTAAAGAAACGAGTAGAAACAAGACAAAGACAAATGCTTCTTAGAATACAACTAAGACTAGAATCAAAACTGTAGAGAAAGTACTGCTTTTAATCTTAACATATTCTATTTTGGCATGCATAAAGCACACCCATTCTTCTTGTTCACATTATACACAGGATTATTATACCTGTGGAATGTAATCATTATACCCATGTATAATGTGTACCCTTATTTTTCCCTCAAAAATTTGGGCAAAAAGGTATGCATTATACACAGCAAAATACGGGTAAACCATGTTTTCAAAGACTACTTTCTTCTTTAGGTGTGGCTCAGTGGACTGAGTGCCGGCCTGCGAACCAAAGACGTGGTTTCCCAGTCAGGGCACATGCCCGGGTTGCAGGCCAGGTCCCCAGTAGGGGGTGTGAGAGGCAACCACACACTGCTGTTTCTCTCCCCTTCTTTCTGCCTCCCTTCCCCTTTCTAAAAATAAATAAAAATAAAATCTTTAAAGAAAAAAAAAGAGAATCAAAGAGCTTAAGGTTCATATTCATGAGTAGTTCCCAATTCATACTGAAAATCATGCCAAGACTGACTATCACAGCAAGGGACCAGGCAGGATTGCACAGGAGCTTCTGGAACGCAGAAATAGGGAAGAGGAGAAAAGCTGACTCTGGGGCAGGCGCAAAGAGCCAGTTAATTTTTCCTAGCCTGCTGCAAAGAGCTTTAAGAAATAGTCTGAGAGGAGTACTTCTGTATTTTTTTTAAAGTTTACTAATTTTTAAAACAACATTATTTTGACATTCAAGAAAGTAATAGCAAATTCCCCCATCTTAATGTAGTTCTATTTTTCCACACTCACTTCTACTTAACATCTATATTAAGTACTTAACTGTATCTCTATTGTAGAGTATTAATGTTTCTAATTTTTACTATTATAAATAATGCTGGGAGGCACATTTTCCTGAATATACTATTTTTCTCCTTTCAAATTATTTTCTTCAAGCAAGTCCCAAGGCCTTGCTTATTGAGGCCAAAAGACAGTGGCAAATTCTGTCTTGCTAGGTATTATCACATAAACTGCAGAAGAGTATCAATTTACAATGCCACCAGCAACATAATCATGTATGAAAGCAGCAACTTCTTCAAGTATCATCAGCGTGTTCCCAGGGATGGAAAGATACTTTTCTTAGTATAACATTATAGAGGGTACCATTTTACATAGTACCATTTCAATGTCATCAGTTCAATGATGACAGGTATCTGGTGACTAATTAAAATAATCTTATAGCGGCCCTTATTTTTTCCTTTATGTAGCCTGTCATTTTTTCCCTCTTCACTGAGCACCTTCATAAATATAAACTCATTTAAATCCTCGCAAAAGCCCTATACGGATAGTTTAATCCCCACGTTGTAGATGAGAGATCAGGGCAAGCTCAGGTAACGTGGGCAACGGGGCAGGACTGGGGTCTGAACCCAGGCCATCCACATTCATTGACTGTACAGCGTGGTCAAGACTCCGGAGGCAGGAGTCCCAGCTCAGAGGAGCGGTAGACCCAGTTGATCCTGAGCTGGAATGGAGTATGGGGTGAAGACCGGAGCGGCGGGAAGGGCCGAGGCTGAGCTTGGAACCTTCTGGGGTGTTACATTGAGGGCCCCTAAGCTAAAGCTCTGGAAGTCGCAGGAGAGACAGCTGCCGCCAAACCTGCGCCGTCTCCACAGTTGGGCTCAGATCTATACGAGAGAAGGGGGAACTACACCCCCAACACCGCAGAAGGGTGTAGAACGAACCCGGTCCCTGGAAGGAAGGCTTCGCACAGAGCCCAGGATCCGGGGTCTCTGCGGGGAGGACCAAGTCTCACTTCCAAATCATTCCTCCGGTGGGCCGGCTCCAAGTGAGTTGGCTACCTAAGGAACCAAGACAGTGCCCCCTACCCCCACCCCGCCCGGCCCCACAACCCCGCGGCTCCGCTCCTGGGCAAGGACCAAACTCCGCGAGACCGCAGGGGGCGCGCAGGCTCCAGGGGAGGGCGCGCAGAGATCCGGTGGGTGCGCGCGGAACGGCGGGGGTGGGGTGGGATGGGGTGGGGGTGGGGGTGCCAGTGGATTCACCTGAGCGGGGAGGGGCCGCGCGGAAAGACAAGGGGAGGGAATCCGTGGACGTGCTGGGACAGGCAGGGAGACACTGGGACCCGGTGGGGGCCGCGGGAACTGCTGGGAGCACGGAAGGAGAGGGGGATGGTGAGGGGTATAAAGAGGGGTGTGCGGTGGAAAGGAAGGGATTCCACCAAGTGGGTGGCGGGTGCTTCTCCCTGCGGCTTGGCGGCGGAGAAGCACCCTCGGCTCTCACCTCGAGGCCGGGAAGGACGACCCACGGTACCCTGGAGAAGCCTGGGAAGCGCGAGGCGGGAGGCTGCTTCCGGTCCTCAGGACGGACTGGGGGCGGGGCCTGGGATGGCTGAGCGGTTGCCATGGAGACGAGGTCTGGACTCTGGCTGAGGGGCGCTAATGAACTAGAACGGGATAATAACCTACCTAGTTGCGCTCTGACCCGCTTGGCTCGGTTGGTTGAGCGTCCACCCATAAAGTGGAAGGTCGCCTGTTGGATTCCGGGTCATGGCACATGCCTTGGTTCCGGGCCAGGTCCTCCGCTGGGGTGCGTGGGAAAGGCAGCGGATAGATGTTTCTCTCCCTCTCTCTAAAAAATAAAGTCTTTAAAAAAACATAACTTCCACGGGTGGGCATGCGCTGCAGCCTGGTTCAAATAAACCAGCATTGTTGGTTCTCAGAGTACTTTTACTTATATTATTAACTTTACTCTTTCAATCACCCAGTAAGTTTACCCCAATTTTACAGGAAACAAAAGCAAGGGTTCCATGGCTTGTCCATGGCCACAGAGGGGGCTCTGTTCTTGCACCACTTCCCCAGTAGTACCATTCCCGCCCCAGAGGTTGGTTAAGCTCAGAGTATTGACGTTTTAAGGAACAGGTTTGACACCCCCTTCCCCACCCACCCATGCTTTCTCAAGAGAACCTAATGGACTTTTAAAAGGTGAGACAGAACCTTCTTGTGCATATTTTGGGACCAATATATATGTGTATATTTACTCAGAGAATCTTAAGTCAGTTTAAAAATAAACTTGGAGCCCAATGAGCTGCAAGGCCACAGCTCCACATACTGGCTTCCTCCTCCACCCACCTTCCCCCCAGGGACTCTTGGAAGTGCATTTAAGTTTTATTTTTATTTTTATTTTTATTTTTTTTAGTTCTTTCTTTTTTTTTAATTAAAATTTTTTTATTGATTATGCCATTACATTTGCTCTATTCCCCCCTCCCTTCCCCTCCACCCTGCATACCCCTCCCCCACCATTCCCCCTTTAGTTCATGTCCATGTGTCATAAGTTCTTTAGCTTCTACATTTCCCCTACTATTCTTACCCTCCCCCCTATCTATTTTCTATCTACTGTCTATACTACTTATTTTCTGTACCTTCTCCCCCCTTCTCCTCCTCCCACTCCCCTGTTGCTAACACTCCATGTGATCTTCATTTCTATGGTTCTGCTCCTGATCTAGCTATCCTCTTAGTTTGCTTTTGTTTTAGGTGTGGTTCTTAATAACTGTGAGTTTGCTGTCCTTTCACTGTTCATCTTTTTTATCTTCTTTTTTCTTAGGTAAGTCCCTTTAACATTTCATATAGTAAGGGCTTGGTGATGATGAACTCCTTGAATTTGGTCTTATCTGAGAAGCACTTTATCTGTCCTTCCATTCTAAATGAAAGTTTTGCTGGGTAGAGCAATCTTGGTTGTAGATCTTTGGTTTTCATGACTTGGAATACCTCTGTCCAGCCCCTTCTTGCCTGTAAGGTCTCTTTTGAGAAATCAGCTGACAGTCTGATGGGAACTCCTTTGTAGGTGACTGTCCCCTTAGCTCTTGCTGCTTCTAGGATTCTCTCCTTCATTTTCATCTTGGCTAATGTAATTATGATGTGCCTTGGTGTGTTCCTTCTTGGGTCCAACTTCTTTGGGACTCTCTGAGCTTCCTGGATTTCTCGGAAGTCTGTTTCCTTTGCCATCTTGGGGAAATTCTCCTTTATTATTTGTTCAAATAATTTTTTCAACTGGTGGTTGTGCCTTTCCCCCTTCTGGTACCCCTATAATTCGGATGTTGGAACGTTTAAAGATGTCCTGGAGGTTCCTAAGCTTCTCCTCATTTTTCTGAATTCTTATTTCTTCATTCCTTTCTGTTTGATCATTTTTTTCTTCCGTCTGGTCCTCTCCCTTGATTTGAGTCCCAATTTTCTTTACATCACTATTGGTATCTTTTGTATCAGCATTCATTTCAATTAATTTAGCTTCCATATGTTTCTCTAATTTGTGACTAAAATCAACCAGTTCTGTAAGCATCCTTATAACCAGTGTTTTGAACTGTGCATCTGAAAGACTGGCTATTTCTTCATCACTTAGGTCTATCGGTTCTGGGGCTCTGAGTTGTTCTAGAGCCATTTTTGGTTTATTCGTGCTGTTTAGTGAGCGGAGCGAAGCCTTAGTTGTTTACCAGGACGGGGCGACCCAGGTCGCTGGTTTGTGACGCTGTGTGTGGGGGCGGGGTCAGAGAGGGAGCGATGGCATTCCTCTCCGCTAGCCCAGCGCATCCAGTCACTCAAACACCTCGGGTTTGCTTATCCGATCCTAATTGTGCGAGCCTGCTGCACCGCGCGGGTTTCCCTTCTCACTGGTTTCTCCGCACGTAAATGCGCGCGACCGACTGACCCACCGTGCCTCTTCCCTGTGCGCTCCGGCAGCCAGCTCGCTGGCGATCAGCGCCCTCGGTTGCCTGCGCGCACCGCCCCGGGAATGTTTTCTTGCTAACCTGCTCCGCTGCTGGCCTCGCTACTCGTACCGGTCCAGCCGAGTATCTAGTTGTCCTTTGGACTCCGTATTGTCGATTTTCTGTGTGGCTTGGTTGTGACTGCTGTTAAAAATAGTTGTTCTTAGATTTGGTTGTGCACAGAGGCGAGGTGGACCCTCCACCTACTTCTCCATCTTGGCGGAAGTCACCGCATTTAAGTTTTAAAAAAAAATAATGTTTATTGATCCTAGAGAGAGGGGAAAGTAAAGAGAGAGACATGTCTACCTAAGAGAGAAACATCCATTGGTTGCCTCCCATACACACCCCAACCCCGGGGTCAAACCCACCACCTAGGTATGTGCCCTGACCAGAATCACACCCCCAACCTTTTGGGTGTACAAGACTGAGCCACACCTGCCACGTCTGAAATGTGTTTTTAGAAGGAAGTGGGCAGTTAGAAAGGGGAAAACAGAGATGCTTGAAAACCATTTGCTAATTAATAAACAACAGTAATAATTTTTAAAAACCTCTTTTGGTATGACCAAGAAAGAAGTAGATTAGTGTTCTGAATAATCAGGTGGTCAAAATGACACACTCAGTGAATATAAATCAGTCTTTCCCCTCTTACCCCAGCACTTGCTCAGTGGGCCCTAAACAAGGCAGCCGCAGGGGCAGAGATGCAGGTTAGGCACAGGCTCAGAAACGTGCACTTTCCCTAGGCAAGGCTGACCTGGCTAACACCACGGTTGAGTTCCTAATCTGCCGACAGCAGAGGCCAACCCTAAGCCCCTCATGTGGTACCACTCCCCATGGGGACCAGCCAGCCACCTGGTGGCAGATTGATTACATTGGACCTCTTCGCGGAAGAGGCAGAGATTTATCCTCACTGGAGTATGCACGTACCCTGAATAGAGATTTGCCTTCCCTTTATGGCTGAACATAACACTTCAGCCAGCCCTGCTATCTTTGTACATATGAAATGCCTCACCCATCGTCTTGGTATTCTGCACAGCATTTCTTCTCAGTGAGGAGCTCATTGCACAGCAAAAGAAATACAGCAATGGGTTCATGCCTGTGGAATCAACTGGTCTTACCATGTAGCCCATCACTCAGGAGCAGTTGGCCTAATTGGAGGTTGGCTTACTGAAGACTTGGTGGTGGTGCCAGTTGGGAGACAACACCCCAAAACAATGGGATTCTGTTTTATGGGGTAGAGCATATGCTTTGAATCCGTGACTTATATGGTGTTCTCTATCCCATAGGCAGAGCCCATGGATCTGGCCATTAAGGGGTAGAAGTGAGGTAGAAGTGAGAGTAAGTCTTCTCATTCTTTTTTTTTTTTTTAATTATTTATTTATTTATTTTTAGAGGGGAAGGGAAGGAGAGAGGGAGAGAAATATCAATGTATGGCTGCCTCTCGTGTGTCCCCTGCTGGGAACTGGCCTGCAACCCAGGCATGTGCCCTGAGTGGGAATTGAACCGCAGTCCTCCGGTTCACAGGCCCCCGCTCAATCCACTGAGCTATACCAGCCAGGGCTCATTCTGAAATTCAGTAACCCATTTGGAAAATTTTTCTTCCCGCCCCAGAGACATTCAGCAGTGCTGTTGGGAAGTCACCGTCCCCAAGGGAGAAGTGCTCCCACCAGCAGACACAGTGGTTCAGCTGAACTGGAGAGTGAGACTGCCTGCTGGACATTTTGGAGTTATGCTGTTGGACCAACTGGCAAAAGAAAGTTACTCTAGGTGAGGGACTTGAACTTGGGTTTCAACTATACAATCCGGGCAAGGAGCACTACATCTGAAACTCAGGGAGTTATCTGGGGGCGCCCCTTTTAGCACTTTCATGCCAATCATTAAAGGTTAATGGAAAACCACAAACACCAAAAAAAGGCAGGACTGAACACTTGTACCCTCTGGGAGGGAGGTTTTGGTCACTCCAGTAGGTAAAGATCCTGACCAGCTGAATTTCTGGTGGAGGGTGGGGGAAGTACGGACCTGGTGGTGGAGGGAGGAAGACACAGATGTCACTGAGCCTCCCAGCGGGTCACAGGAAGATGACAGTGGTAGTTCTGTATCTTTTCTACTTGCTTATAGATGTATGTGTGTGTTTATTTTATATGCTAACCATTTTCTTCTTCTCTCTCCTTCCCAATTGTTATTTTATGTACATTTAGTTGAAAGTTAACTTTACAATTTGTTCTTTAGGTCAGCGATTTTCAACCCGTGTGCTGCAAGGATTTTTAAAATGCGCAATACCTGACTGTTTAGTCAGAGGCACTGACCTCTTTTCCCTTAGATTGTCAAGTAAAAAATGACAACAGCCAACACAACACTAGCCATCTAATGTGACTGTCCTGTCTTCAACCATCAACAGGGTCTGGCACAAGTAGCACCCTTTTTTATTACAAAAATCTTTTATTGCAAAATCATAAGCATGTAATTCTGTAACATAACAATGTCACACTCAAGCACACCATGTGACATTTTAGGTGAAATGCTCAGAGTACGGTCCTCCTTGTGTGAGACATTCACGTCTGCTACCGACCACACTCAAGCAAGCTTTACTTTTGTCTGACCCTGTAAATAGGTCGTATAATAGAGTTGCATCTTATTGGTCACATTGCATAATACGGTTGCATCCGATTGGTTAATTTTTGGT